AGATAGTCTTCATATGGCAGTTTTTGGTGCCATGGCCGTAGGAGAGGCAGTTCATACACTGCGTAACATCACGATGTTGGGATTTGTAATGTTCCCAACTGATGATGACCTGAAACAGGTCCCGGATTTTGGATCTCAGAGCCGCTAGACTGGTGGATCCCTTCGTGAAGTGCACCAGGAACAACTGGTCACGGAAGCTGGTGTTGTGGTTGGAACGCCGGTTTATTGGGAACACCGCCTCAGGTTTGAGCCCAAGCCGCTCCAGCTCGGATTTAACCACAGTCGCCTCGAACGACGGTAATCCACGCAATACCAGCTTCAGTGGCTTGCTCGATGGCAGATCGTGCGTGAAGAAGTCAACGTTGTTTTCTTTTAGGAAACATCCTGTTTGATTGTACTCCTCCAGGCTGGAGCACATGATTTTGGTGCCGATGCTGCAAAGCTTGAAGCGAGGCAGCAGCTTGTGTTTTGCCAGTTCGGCACGCAGCTTTGCAACATCCTTCTCCGGCGTGAAAAGCGGGGGAATCCGCTCTCTTGCAGCGATGGGAACGACGTCACCATCGCCATTTTCTTCGGAGAGCACCGCAAACTGGTTGGCTTGCAGTACCCGTTTTCCGGCGTCATCCTGCGATGCGCTGTGCTGGATTACCACCTTCTTTGAAGGGCCCGCTGCTGAATCATTGGTACGTTTACGCACCATTTGTTTCGTGTTGGCAAGTTGCAGTAAACTTGCCAGAACGCGCGAAGGTGGCGGTCCAAACTATGGACAACGCACCGCATATAAAACTTCATTGTACCTTAAAAAGCGCAGAAGGTGGAGTCTCTTTGCAACTTATGTTTGTGGCATAAGGTGTTGCAAATAAGGTGCGTGTAACATGATATATGAATGACACAAGTTGTAAATGAGGTTTTACCTGTTTCACTGAAATATATAAAACAGTACATACTGTGATGTTTTCGAGTACATGTAAATGACATTCAAGTTAACCACATAAATGTATTGGATATTTTTGTGAGGTGATGTGGAAAAAGCATACTGAAAAACATTTAGACTGCAAAATCAGAGATGACAATCGTAGAAAAAGTCATTTGAATAAAAGTATGAAATTAATTACTTTAAAATATTGATAATTAGTCCGTTTTTTTTCAAACGCATCTAGTTTTATGGTAAAATTGAACATTTTGCTTCGATTAAATATATACGCCTTCAAAAACTTACAAATTTATGTCACAAATTTGCAGCTTAAAAATATGTCGAAATAAAAAATTGATCTCTAAAATTAAATATTTATATTCATATTATTGAAAAACATTACAGCTGTAATAAGTATTTCACGTTTTTACGTTAATAGGGAGTGAAACATGAATAAATTGAAAAATAGGTTTATTATGTTTATTTCTGGTGGATTACATATGGCTGCCAGTCTTACCAACAGCATTCTAATTGTGTACATTGCGGGTCAACATGTTCAGTACAACCATATTTTTTTGTATGTGTGGTTGTGTTTGCGAATGTGATAAATTTTTGATTTCATTCTAACCGAATAAAATTAGCATGATGATGAGTTCTTAAAACTCAAAATTATGTTTAAAAAAAATAATAATCAATGGGATGATCAGTGGTAACTCTACATAATGTACCCAGGACTTTTTCGGCTCTCTAAGGCAAGGCAGCGCTCTGTTGTGAGCCGATCACCGACAAGATATTTTGACAAGCTGGTAGATACCACACTCCGTCATATCAGTGGACAACTAAAACACACCTACCAGACCCCTATATCATGAAGTGTCCAACCCGTAGCCGCCAACCTAAATTTTAATCAGCATAGTAAATTACCAGTAACAATCAATTAAAGCCTAATAAGTGATCAGCTTTTTAAACAAAATAAGCGTTTTTTGTGCAGTACCTATAGATCATAATTCATTCAAAACTAATTTGAAGAATATATATTTAAACATAACATCTTTTTTAAATCAAATAAATGGTATATATTTTTTTTCAATTTTAAAATTCAATCAATCAATATCAATAAATAAATAAATGAAATAAAAAAAAATGGAAATAGCCTGTAAACCAATTGGAATTGATGACTTTAACTCGCAAACCCCCATTGTCTATTACTGAAAAAACTTTCATAATTTCGTCATTTTTGAACAGAATATTTTTATCTATCCATTGCAATAGAACCGCAAACTTCTCAAGTTTTGATGAGAATTGCAATATTTAAAAAAAAATTCTGATTCTGAATATATTATGAACTGAAAAAGTGTAAATTTTTGACATTGGGGGTTTTGAAGTAATGAAATTAGGTTGTTAGCGGAATGCTTAAATATAACAGCAAAAAAAAAGGTTATCTTCCATTTATTTCCACTCGGGGTACTTTTGAGTACCTGCTTCACAAAATTCTAACGAAAGCAGAAAACCCAAGATAGAAAATAAAGCAATCCATTTTAATATATTTATATTTAAATTTTTCTCTCTAGATTAGTAATTTCCATTTAATTCCACTACCTTATTTGCTTATTTTGACAGGTATGCGTATTTCGTCTAAAATGTGCCGACTTCTTCAGTGTCTCGAGTAGTCGAGTATTAGTTCAAGACACTGAAGAAGTCTACACATTGTAGACGAAATATGCGTTTCTGTCAAGATAAGCAAATAACCCGAGTAGCACTCTTTCATCACAATAAGTTACAGGAACTTGTTTATGACTGAAATAAGTCGTATATAAGTTTCTACAATTTTACAGTTTTATTTTCAATCTTGAGTTTTTTGCTTTCGTTAGAATTTTGTGAAGCAGGTACCGTAAAACGGGGTATCTTTGATAATGCGGGTAACTTTAATAGTATAAGGTAAAGATTAAATTTACTTGCTGCGCTTTTTCTAAATTAGAAATATTAGTTCCAAATTGTAGCTTAGGGTATTTCCGTTGATTTCATATGTATTTTTTATATAATATGTGTTACATATTTTACAAATACATTAAAAAACAATTTTCGTGTTTTTCACCTGTTTGAAAAAGCACTCAAACCATCACTTATGAAATGTATTTTTGATATTGCCATCACACATTCAATGTTGTATTCTTATTGCTTATGATGTTTTCTGATTATATACTCATTCAAAGTTTCATATTTAAAGAACAAAATTGTTTGTGTTTCACCCATTTTTTCTACATTCATCGAGCATTATCAAAGTAACCCCAAATCAAAAACTGAAGTTCGGTCACAAAACTAAAAAAGTAATGCAAATGCTATAATTTTTGTTTAACATATTACTAACGAATTGACTCTTGGATCTTCAGTACTTGCTTAAAAAATTAAAAAAATGGAAAACACACATTGCTGTAAAAATTATTTAGAATATACTTTAAAAAACTATCAATGTTACCTCGTTTTACGGTACTCAAAAGAATAGGACGCCCACATTAATCAGGATACAGCCATTTTACAAGCAAGATTTAGTTTATAATGATGGAAAAAAATGATATGGAAGAAAAGCTAATCATTGTGCGGCTGTTTGGCGGTGATTATCTTGGAGAATGATTCAATGCCGGCTTGCCTTCAGAGTCGTGCAGAACGAGTTTGGTGGTGCGGTTTGGCGTCTCTTTTGTACTTCAGCTGTTCTTGTGACGTTGAACACTTCGTTGCATGGTAGCAGTGAGGGAGTCGGTAAGGTGACGGGTAACATTATTGGTTTGCATTATGCAGAGTGTAAAAATGTTGTATATGTTGGATGGGTTCACGGCTGTTTACTGCCATTTCTGAATTAAGTGAGTGCAAAGGTGGCTCAGTTTGGGTTCAAAATGTGTGGGTTCAGTTGCAAAAAAATCTTGTAAACTTTCATCATTCTTCTTCATTCCTGTTTGTTCCTGGCGAAATGGCCTCGATCACGCGGGATTTATTGTTCGGTGAGCTTAGCTTTTGCTCATTTTAAAACATAATTCGGAATTCCTGGGAGCACGATCCGCAAAGTTCATTTCTAGATCAAATGAAAGTTAGGCTAGTTCCATTTTGATTCGTTGTGTTTGAGTCCACACCAATAGACTTATAATACGTAATTGAAAAATATTAAAATTAATAATTAAAAATTATCGAAAAATATGAAGGCTTTGCAGATTCTGTCCCCATCGTACGTAAAGACCTAACCAAAAAAAAAAAAACATCTAGTAAAGGAGAATATAGTGAAGGAATAAGTGCTTTACGTAGCTTCAGATATCCGGGTTTTAAACCCGATTGTCGGTCACCGCGACTTGTTCTGGTGTAAAGGGCACCGCCCTCTGGTTTGAACAGTTATATCATTAACTCCATCATAAATCGCGTGTATATGAAGGGCTCGGCAGATTCAGACAGCCTTTTTTGCTTACTGAGCAGAAAATAATCAAACCTGGGCCTCATCATATTAAAAAGTTTCATAGTCACAATGCTTGCTCATCGTGTTTTGTGAAAATAATCGTCGTTTTCGTCGGTGCCAGATTTGAATGGCTTCAATACAAGTGGTGTGATGTGAAATGATGTGGTGTCAAAACACGGTCGTACAAGAACCTTGCACACTTTTTGGCCACGGAATTCTGCTTCATGTGCCGGTTTGGATGTTTACTGGCTTCGTACGACGTGTATCCTGCCTTGGCAAGAATGTTCTGCACCGTTTGAAAGTTGGCATTGTACCTTCTGGTTACATTTGGGATCGAAAGACCTGGGTTGGCTTTAACGCACCTCAACACGTTGTTTAATTTCTTACAATGTCTAACAGTGGGGGAGGGACCTAATAATCGCTCAAACATCCTTACATGATTTGTGAATGACCCCTATACGAAAAGTTAACACCCGAGGAGGGTTAAAAATACGCCAAATGATCGAGATTCTTCTAATTTATTTAAGTATTCGGGAAAAAATACGAACGAAAAAATCATGCCAGAATAAGGATTCCTAACCGTATACATTTCAGTTCATTGCCAAGTGGAATCCTATGTGCTGATATTCTATCTCGTTTTCTTTGCAGCTCCCTACCGGCTATCGGATACCATCGATGTTGTCGCAACGCCCGGTCACACGTTATCCTGCGTTTCGGTGCTAATTCGTGAGAGCAACCTGTCCCCGGGTCTGGTGGCCATCGTAGGTGATCTTTTCGAACGGCGTGACGATATCGCCGACAGTGCCCTCTGGCTGGATGCCGGAAGCGAAGATCCCATGGCTCAGAGACGTAATCGTGCCCGAATGGCTGCCACAGCCGATTACCTTGTCCCGGGGCATGGAGCGATGTTTGCCGTTGATCAACTCATGCGAGACGAACTGAACAAGCAGGCAGAAGAGTCGTCGTCGTCCACGTCTGAGCGTACGGAGGAGTTGCAGAAGAAGACCCAGGAATGATTGTTGTGGGATGGTGGGGGTGGGGTAAGCACGAGAAGAGACGCGACGAACAGCCAGTTTCATAATTCGATAATAGTTTATGACTTATTGCAAGATGTTTGGAAAATGTATTCGACTTTAGATTAGTTGTTGGCTTGTGTTGATTTTTTGAAGCTTTATGGTTAGAAGAATTATTAAAAATTAAAGTTTGAATGAAACCGATCCGTAATTTTTTTTTAATATTAATTTAGGAATTCTTAACATAATGCTTTGCGGAAGCAAATTCAAGAAGCTACGGAAGAGATAAGTTATCAGAGGAAATAGGAGACTAGTAAATTACATATTCTACGAATTTCGCATCAGGAGTAGCACTTGAAATTGTTTCCAATATGAGTTTGATTAGAAAACAGCTTTCGTTTTACGAGTTTGTATTCTATATCCGCTAATGTAACAATTTTGCAGGATTGAAAAATCCAAGAAAATATATTGAAAGAGAAAATATTAAACAAGCACGATATTAATATGCAAATTTATGATCATACATGTATGTTAGTGGAATTAGAGTTTCAAGTTTCTTAACAATTATGTATTTGTGACAAGGTAAACAAAAAAAAAACAAAACAAAACACATGTATTACTGAAAAAAAGAAAAGCAAACAAAAATGTAGTAGTTTTAAATGTTTAATCTTTGTTCGAAGGAAAACAAATAGTTCTACATTTGCAGTTGAACGGTACCAATTTCCAAAAAGGTTGTGCTGAAATAAGAAAAAAAAAACAAAACAAACACACATAGTAGTAGAGAACCATGTTTTTGGACCCGCCCAGCTCAGTAGGAGCCTGGACGGGTCTTGCTTGAGAACAAGAATGCCAATGAACAAGCAAAAAAAAAAATACGCAAGTAAATACTAAATTATGATTGTTTATTTGTTTAGAGAAATTAGGATCGGTACGTAATAATACATCGTTTCAACAGGGACTCGCAAAAAACAACACCCGAATTGCGAGCCGAAGGAAAGTATCAACATCAACTTTCACACTATTTGGATCTAATTCGATTTAAAACCGGAGAATAACATCAGCGAACGGAAGTAACACCTGGAAAAGTGTAAAAGAAAGCTAATGTCACTTATATAAAAAAAAAAAACACACACACACTAATCAATGTTGTTACAAAACAAAAAAGAAAACAAATGTTTAAGACAAACCATTACCATTAAATGCAGCAAAATGATCATTCATACCCAGCATGTAATCAATCTCATCGTCAAACTTAAACTCTTCTTCAACTCGAAGGAGCTCATTAAAAAATCTAGTGTTAGGCATAACCTCATGCAAAACTGATAAACGTTTAGGAAGGTGCCGGTTGAGTAGATCGACCAGGTTGAAAAATCGGCTCTTCTGCTCGTAAGCAAAAGTTGGAAGATACAATAATTTGTGCGAAAGAAACCAAAATTTACAGCAGCATGCAGCTGTATCTTTTACTAGCAGAGTATAACCTAATATTAAATAATGACCGATAAAAACTGTGTAAGTTTAAGAACCTAGAATAAGGCGTAATTTTAAGAAAGCAGCAGCATGATCATTAATAATATTGTTCATATTATGGAGAATATCAATGGTATGAAAAACAAGGCAAACGTAATGAATGTCTTGTTAACTAAAGCAAAAAAAAAAATGTTATTGATAATATATGAAAAAAAAAACACGCATATAAATAACCAAGTTGAATTATTGATATGCTTTAAATAATAATAAAAAAACAAGCAGCAGCATGATTTCACTCTATATATAAACTATATCTGTATGAAAATGAAAAATATCTTAGGCTATGCAGTCGAAGAATATCATTATGCAATATAACATATAAAAAAACATAAATAAATAAATTATCCACTTGATTGTATTTCAAAAGCATAATACAAACAAATGGACCGCAACGGCAAATGAAAAACAAAAACGAAACTAAGTCGAAAAAAATAATCTATACAAAAACCAAGAAAACTATGATGACAATTATTCTGTGCAGAGAAAAGAGGTGCATAATGATTCACTGTAGAACTCAAAAACCATCTAAAACAATTTTCTAAGGGCAAAAACACTGTATGAATTTCGAAAACATGTGGTGAGGCTAAATGAAATCCTAGCCCCACTAGATCGAGAAAAATATAAAAAAAAATCCAAGAGAAGATCATCAACAACAACCGAGAAAAAAAAAACAACAACAACCAAGCAAACAAAATCGCATTCATTTTCCCTTACAGAATCAGTTGAGAAAAACCTTGCACGATCGTTGCATTCGACTTAAATTTGAATTTCGTTAACTCTAATTTGCATAAACGCAGGTCACGCCTCAATTGAAGTTATTTTTTTTTTCGATAATCCTCAAATATTTTCAGAATCATGGGGAACATTAAAAATATCAATTAGCATAGCTCTATCAGTCCAATGAAATTGGAGAGTTACTCACCAATTCCTCAAATCAAACGATCATTGGATAATGGAATTGTTGAGTGTACTTGTTATGCTACCGTCTATCCGAGAGTCAGCGCTTAAATGATACGGCAGAAGCGTTGAAGTCGAACAGTAAATACATCTGGTTGAAGCTAGCTGACATGAAACGGATGGGACCATATAAAGCATTGCGGGCAGGCTTCCAGTGCGCGCGCTACCGTATGCGAGACGCAATACGAATAGTCTCATAGTCATAGCAGTCGCATGCGCAAGAGATTTGTAGCACTCTGTTTCTCTCTCTTCAGTTTTGTCGCATCTCACATTCTCATAATGTCAGTGTGTCGCACTGTTTTGTAAGCACAGCACATTTCCGGATGTATGCGTTTCATGAGAACGAGTATCATGCGACGTCGCGTGAGCCGAAGATCATGCGCTCTTCGCAATGAGACGTCGCTAAGCGACGTTTCAATGCGACATCGAAATAACAAACTCAACTGGAAGACCAACTCGTGTTCTTGATGTGGGAAAAGTGTTGTTTTGTTTTGAAAACGATGGAAAGCGACCTAGCTACTACACTCTTATCGAACATGGAGAAGAGGTGTCGGATGGTTATGACCAACAAAGTTTTCCTAGCGGCAATTTTCGTTGATTAAAGATTAACTTGAAAAATAGCCCATTCTAGAACAACTTTGTCGGAGACAGTAACTTTCTATCTGGTCAGGATCTCGGGATTTTCCATGTTGTAACCAATTAAGTCAAATCCCACGTAGTACGGACACCGTTTACGCCGTTTCCATTCACATTTTCTCTATTAACTATCCGCATTTTTTGGGGGTTAACTGTGATAAAAGTTTAGCTTGTTTAGTTAAAAACAAGTTTTTTAAGGAATACCCGTTGGTTTCATATCGATTGGTAGCTCGGCTGCAAAATGGCAATGGACAACACACACTGTTTTACAAAGTACAACGCGCGAGTACTCGTGTTACAAAAGTTGGCGCGAGTAACGGAGGGTTAATCATAGCATCACAACATCTCTTCAAGATACATGACGGAATACCATCATGGCTAGGTGATGTGGAGTATTTCAATGTTAACCTGTTGGAGAGAAATCTGAAAATGTCCCAATGAACAGACGTTGCGTAGCGTGTCTCTGCAAGCATTTTCGACTTGAGCTGGGGATGACGTAGAACCATTGAAGGCACCCTTGAAGTGATTAGCGAATTGCTCGCAATTATCAGATGAGGTACTGGTGAAATTATTGCCCAAAAACATTTCAACAGTTAATCCATTATCCTTCCGCTTGGAGTTGACGAATTTCCAAAAATTCCTTGGGTATCTCCTAAGATTGTCTTGCAAACGTAGAGTGTAGCGTTTGTACAAGAAGCAATTGTATGTCCGATATCTGATACTAGGTCAATTGAATACCTGCTTAGCGAATGGACAACGAGATCTGCAGTATTTCCGAAGTGCTCTCAATCTCAGCTGCTTCAAATGTCGCAGATGTGCATTTCCCCAATCTGGCTTCGGGCAAAGGAAGATGATCAGCAATGATGTTATGCATAATCCGAGTGAAGCGATGAACAGCATCGTCTACATCTCCGGAAGTGTCCAAATGTGCCCAGTGTGTATGGTAAAGTGCATCCACCATTCCTTCGAAATCTGGATCTTCGGGAAAGTCCTCAAAATCCAAACCTCTAGAAACGTTGACTTCGACTGTTAACGGAGGGTGATCAGCATCGAGAATAGATAAAGGTTCCGTAGCCGCTGATATCGAGCATCTTTCAAGTGTCGTATCATTCACCAGAGCTAGATCCAAGAGGCTACTATTTCGGTTGTCGATTGTATTGATTTTGGGGCAACAATATTTTTAACGATCCCAAAGATATTTAGCGAAAAGTGGGGCAATATCGCCAATGGGGCAATGTTGATTCAAGTCTAACAAAACACTTTTTCTCTAGAGCAAATATTCTAAAAATGTTAGACTCAGAGTATCTCATAATAGTGACTACCGGGAGTTGATACTTTGCGAACTTGGCAGTTGTTTCTGAGCTTATGTTTTTTGTGTCTCTGGGGTCTTGGAATAACACCTTCGTTTTCTTAGTGTTGATCTCCAGTCCTATTGAATTCAATAGCGGCTCTAATACACCGATGCACAGTGGTTGAAAAGTCCATTTTGACGCTCTTAATTAATAGCACCATGGAGAGTGGATTTAGAGTAAGGACGTCTTGGGCAAAGTTGATGAGTATGACATGCTGCATCTTTTGAAGGCATGGATTTTGTGATTAATCCCCCTAAAAGTGAAATGAAAAATTTATTTTTTCACAATGTCGAGATCAGGCATACCAAAAGTACCGCCTCATGACAGTATTCCAACGGCTGTCGCTTTCTTTTCCCTACGACAGCCTTGAGATTGAGCTATAAGCGACAGCCCACAGTGAGGCTGTTATACGACATGCAACGTTGCCGTCTTGTGCAGTACACGACAGCTCGTTCTCAGTCATGTATTTTGTTCGTTCGGCTATGACAGCCTCGGATGGTCATTCGTAACGTTCCTCGTACATACAACAAGCAGTCCGTCGAACTGCCGATTCGTTGCTGCTGTCTTTGAAATTTTGTTTGTGTGTCGTAAAACTGCTACTACACTACCAGTGTGGCGCCGGAGCTCGTTCGGTGTTGCTATCACGTTCGTGCTGCCCATTGCAAAATTTTCATCCGATATTTTTTTAAAAACGCGCGGTCTTCGGCGAAAAATATAAGCCTACCCGACACCAACCTGACTTCTACCAAACCCCAACCCGATGTTGGCCCGACATTGACCCGACATAAACGCAAAATTGACCCGACATCGACCCGACATTTGGCCGACGTCGACCATAAATTGACCTTACATTGATCCGACATCGGGCCGACATATCTGTTCGGGATCATTCTTCTGGGTTTCTTCCATACTCCACTGCCGTATATCAATTGTATATAATGTCTCGTGACAGCCTTTTCGTGACAGCCACTTGGGTAAGCTGAGGGATGTCGTCGATTTGTGAAGGCTGTTATGACGACAGAAACATTAAGAACCTGGTCATAAAGAATTGTATAAATAGGGTAGAGAACTACTTCGGCCTAATCGCCCGTTTTGGGCCTATCGAGCAGAAAACTTCAAATAAATCCATTATTTCAGAGTTAACATGTCAATTATCCGTTTGGCACGATACTTTAGTTTATAAGCTACCGAACGAAGTCAATGAGAACGCGTGATATGAAGGTTTGCACGCATTATTTCCAAAAACTAAAGAAGTGCTCCGACCGAATCAATTTTTATCTTCCTCCGATAGGCCGAAGTGAATTCATTGGTGTTTCAATGGCGTTTCAATGCGCTAGGCCGAGTTTATAATCCGTAGGCCGAGTTTGTCGTCAAGAAGCAGTGTTAGACTTTTGACAATATCTCAACGATTGGTTTCTCTTTATCAAATCTTACGGTACATACGGAAAGCTAAATAAATTTGGAAGCCATCAGTAATAATAACATTCCGTTTGGTGCTAAACTACGCTAGATAAAGAAGGACTAAGTGTGGGTTGTGCTTAATAGGTCGAAAATGGGGTAGTTAACCCTACAGCCCATTCGGTTCACTACGTTCCAAGCACGATGATTTTAGCAAAGCGGGTATAGATGCGACTGTTCTAATACAGCTTTCATTCGTTCGTGCGTGCGCTGTTGCCAATACACTTCGAATTCAGATCTGAACGTACGGTAGCAAGCGGCAGTAAAGCACACAAAGCAACAGTCAATTCAGGTATAAACCAACTGTCGCGAGGAGGCTGTACTATTTGGAAGCCTGGACTCGAGATAAACCGAACCGAACCGAAAAATTACCCAAAATTAAGTTCTTTTCACTCATCTCCCATGTTCCGTTCAATAAGCTAATTTTCAGTAAACCGCTTATAGTAGTTTGCATTTGGCTACGGCAAAAATAATTACTTACTCGTGTGTATTTTCTACCCAAAATTAAGTTCAATTGGCTCAAATTTGAGAAAATCTCATGTACTCACTAGTAGCTTATTGAACGATAGTAATGAGAAAGTCGAATCTCTCGTTCCGTTTTTGACAACAACAAAAAGTTAGAGTGTGTGTATGCGTGTATTCAATCCAACCCCCAC